AGGCCGCACGATGCGCCGTGCGACTGTAGCCCTCTCCCTCGGGCTCTTGACGCGCACGCCCCCCGTGCGGCGAAAGATCGAGAGCATGGGACAAAAAGTGCGGATCGTCGCAGCTCTCGGCTCGACTTGTCCCACAGTCGGTCGGCGCCTTCCTGACACCAGTGGGCGGTAGAAATTGGTAAACCGAATGGAAGAGAAAACGTCAAGATGCCGACTCAGGCTCAGTTCGGGCATGTCCCCGACAGGCGGATTTTGGAGGAAAAATATCAAAACATCTGCAATATGCTCAAACATAGTTAAAAGTCGTCCCCAAAATTATGTTTTGACCATGTTTGGATATTCCTCCTGTAGACGGACATGCCAAACTCAAACCTGGAGGCAAGCCACTCGAGCGGGGCAGGCGCAGCGGAATCAAGAACGGCAAGACGGCTGACATGAAGAGGCCTAGCCCTAGCGGGCACAGTGCAGTTACGCCCGCCAGACAGCAAGGTGGCGGGGGGAAAAATCACCCATCATCACAATCCTCGTGCCTCCTCCTCCTCCTCCTCCTCCTCCTCCTCCCTGCTCCTCCCTCCTCCCTGCTCCTTCCTCCTCCCTGCCCCTCCTCCCTGCCGGTCGGCGCCTGCTCCTCCTCCTCCAGGCGGTGCCGCCGCTGGAAGGCCGCGGCCCGGGCGCGGGCGCGCTGCTGGCTGAGCGCGGCCACCTCCTCTCGGGGTATGTGAAGGGGCCCTGGGGCACACAAATGAATACGCACAAATAACAGGATTCCCCACAGCCTCCCATATCTTCGGGGGTTCTGTCTTCCCCCCACTTCCCTTATGTTCTCATATTTTCCTGGGAGTCGACGATTCATTGTGTTTGTGTGTCTTTCCCTCCTGGATATGGGGGAGCAGTGAAAGATCCATGGCGCTGGCGGGAGCTCGCCCTTCAGCTACTCGAGATGCCACTCGTGAATTACTGGGGCTGCAGCCCTCGATGATCGTCGGAACGTGGATGCGCGCCTGCTTGGCTACCGACGCCATTCAGTACGGCGCGGAGCTGAATGGTGCAAGCACACGCGTTGGCACTGGGCTGACATGCGACCTGAGGATCATCGCCTCCCCCTCCCATCCCCCTGGTAGCGTCACGCTTGGGGCCGGCGCCGCCTGGGAATGACTAGGGGTAGCTAATTCCTGGACGGCGCCGGCACAAATCGTGACATCTGCTTCGACCCCCTTTGGGAGGCCTGGACTCTCACGTCCGACCGCGCCGGACCAGGTCGCCACTGGGGATACCAAAAAGGACGGATGCCATCCGATACCGCTACTCCACGGACCTCTCCCGGGGCGCATTCTGACAAAGAGTTTCGAGGCGAATCTGGCGGTGGCGACGAGGGCCTCCCACGAGGCCCAAAAAGAGGGAAACGAGGGAAGGGTAGAGGTATGGGTGCCTTTTTCATCCTCTGAACCACAAAGTAGATCACACCGTGCCTGGCGAGACCACCGAAACGGACCAGGCCAGACAGACAAGACGACTCACGAGCAGACCGTGCCAGACCAAGGAGAAGCCAAAGCAGTCCAAAAACCGGGGAGGAGAGCGGGTCGCTGATGCACCCTGCGGCAGCCCCCCCCGCCCCGGGGCTGACTGCTGACACTTCAGCTCCGCAGCGCAGGAGCAGGCCGTGGAGAGGTGTATCGGCGTCGCGCCGAGTGGGGAAATGAGAGGGAGCAGGCCTTCTCGGAAGGCGGCGGAAGCCTTCCGGCCCTCTGAGAAGCTCTCCTTGTGTTTTCGGAGAAGGCTCAGAGAGCTGCTCAGAAGGCCGGAAGCCGTCTGAGCCTCCTGAGCAGGCCCACCCCCTCTGCCTTCTCGCCTGGGCGATGCTCGGAGGTGCCGTGTGACGCCACATCAACTTGATTATGTGACACCACGTGGATCGATCGACCTGGAACGATCGCGGCGGCTTTCCAACAGCGCAGACCTTCCGGCATCGGGAGGAGGAGGAGGAAGAGAAGGAAGAGGAGGAGGAGGAGGAGGAAGAGGAGGAGGAGGGAGGAGGAGGAGGAGGAGGAGGAGGAGGAGGAGGAGAGGAGGAGGGAGGAGGAGGAGGAGGAGGAGGAGGAGGAGGAGGAGGAGGAGGAGGAGGAGGAGGGAGAGGGAGAGGAGGAGGAGGGAGGAGAAGGAGGAGGAGGAGGGAGGAGGAGGGAGGAGGAGGAGGAGGAGGTGGAGGAGGAGGAGGAGGAGGAGGAGGAGGGAGGAAGAGCAGGACGAGGAGAAGGAGCAGCGAGACGATCGGCCGCGATTCCGCGACGGCGGCGTCCACTCTTTGAGGCGCCCGCGCCGGGGTCGCCGCCGCGCCGGCACGGCTCGGGCCTGCCGTGCACCACCATGCTGCACCGGCAGGCCTCGAGCCTACAGGGCAGTTTTTAACACATAGGATTTGTTTTTTTTAATGGATTTTAATACAGGAAGAGGAGGAGGAGGAGGAGGAGGAGGAGGAGGAGGAGGAGTTTAATGGATTAATTGATGAATAAATCAATGCAAGAACTCATCGTTGTATTCATTCATCAACCCTTTTCTTTTTCATACATGGTCCGCAGTAGGAGCATGTACGAAAACCGGCGCTGTGCTCTGGGTGACAGCAGGGGCCCCCAGGAAACATTCCACAAGGCGCTCGAGGCCCCGAGACGTCCACTGATCTTTGGTGCGGGAGCGCCACGCTCTCCACAGCAAAAGCCTCGATACCGAGGAAAACCAGGGCACCCTGGATTGAGCAGGGGCCGACCGTCCCGGCGTTCCTATAGTCCTACCACGAAATGTTCTCAGAACCCAACAAAAGCAATGTTCTTAGAACATCAACCCGATGAGATAAGACAAGACAGACTCCGCCAGAAATGTTTTAAGAACTCTTCGTGGAAACCACAAACGGTTCTCAGAACATTGTTTGGTAGGGATATAGGCGAGCCAGGACGCTTCGCCACTGCTCGACTCCCGGGGACCAGCATCTCGTCCCGAGCCGGGCTTCGTTGACTGGACACAGGGCCTGGCGAGGGGCCCCAGGAAGCCGAAAACGGCCTCAAATGCTCCGTCGTGATCCTCCTCCTCCTCCTCCTCCTCCTCCTCCTCCTCCTCCTCCTCCTCCTCCTCCTCCAAGACCCAAGGCACCCTGGAGGCACGCAGGGCGCTCCCTGGCAGGGGTCTCCACTGCGGGCCTCGCTGCGCGCGGCCTCCCGGCAGAGGCCGGGGGCCCCGACCTCTGCCCGGACAGGCCCGGCCGCCACGAGTGGCCACGTGGATCGGGTCGGGCGAAAGGGTCGGGATAGCAAAGGGGGGGTTTGAGAATCAGCTCACGTAGCCGATTTTCCCGGCGTCGCCCGGCGCCGGAAGGCGCCCATGTATCGAGGGATGGGCCCGGCGGCGGGGCCGAAACCAGCTACATGCAGCAGATTTCGTAGCCCCCCCTTTCCCAAACCCCCCCCTTTCGCCCGGCCCGAGTGGAGGGCTCTCGCACTGGCGAGCGCGGCTCCCCGACCTGATGGCGGGATCGAAGCATCTGAAAACACACCGGGAATGCCCCACGAGGGTCGGAAATGGTGCAGGGATCGCCCCCAGACTGCTTCTCTCACCATGATTGCAGGATCCTCCCGGGACATGCCCGGCTTAACGTTTGTCAGTCTTGGCGTCGCTCCTCCGTCTTTTGGAATCTGGGGCACGCCTTCGGGCGCTGGGGCCATCAGAACCTGCATCCGGGGCGAACAAGATCGGGAGCGGCCAAGAGGGGGGTGTCCAAGAGGGGGGGGTGCAAAGCATGACCGGCGGCATGTGCGCGGCCCAGCGGGGGGGCCAGGGACGCAATGAAGCAAGAAGAGGCGCCATGAAGTCTGGGGAAATGTCATGGCCCCCGCCCCGATATCTACCCCCCTAGTCATCACCCCCCTCTTTACCGCCCCCGAAATTAGGATCAAGCTAGAAAATCGGATCGGATCGGAATGCGCGCCGGGGATCGAAGTTGAATCCAATCGGCCGAGCCAGGGCGCCCAACTGAGCCATGCAGACATCGAACAACATCGGATCGTCGGGACCTGACTGGACAAGAACGGGAAGCTTCGTCCACCCGGCTGGTAAGACAAAGCAGAAAAGAAGGGAGAGGACGACGACAAGGAGACGGGTGAGGAGGAGGGCAGCGTGGAGCGTGGATGACAAGGTGAAAACGAGTAGGACCGGGAGGACCCCAATGACTACGAGGAGGAGGACGAGCAGCACAAAGACGGGGAGGATGAAGACGAGGAGGAGGAGTACCAGGAGGAAGACGACGAGATCGACGAGAGGGGACAGGCGGACGACAGCGAGGAAGACGAAGAGAGAAGCGTGGATAAGGAGTGGGACAGCGGGGAGGACGAGGAGAGGAAGACGAACAGGACGATCAGGGCAAGGCGGGAGGGAACAAAAACGCCGTGGGGACGACAACGAGGACGACATGGAAAAGCAGGACGACGAGCACACGCAGAGAATTGAGGTATAGCATGGTGAGTCTTGTGGTCGCGACGGGCACGGCGAGGCCTTCTCTGCAGGCCCCGTGGGCGATTCTCTTCGCCTTGGGGGCCTGGGAGGGCCCTCGTGGCCACGAGCGGCGAGCCTATTCGCGCCCGCGCCCCCGCGGTGTGGACTCCGGGGCCTCCTACTCCTCCTCCTCCCCTCCTCCTCCTCCTCCTCCTCCTCCTCCTCCTCCTCCTCCTCCTCCTCCTCCTCCTCCTCCTCCTCCTCCTCCTCCTCCTCCTCCCCTCCCGCGGGTGCGCGCCGCGCGGGGCAGCTGCGAAAACACTGCCCCGCATCCGGGAGGAGGCACGGGCATGGGGAGGACACACGGGGGGGGTGCAGAGGCAGGCCTGGGAGGAGGGATGCGCGGGGGGACGAGGAGGATCGGGTCGGGCGAAAGGGGGGGATAGCAAAGGGGGGGTTTGAGAATCAGCTCACGTAGCTGATTTTCCCGGCGCCTCCCGGGGCCGGAGGCGGCCATGTATCGAGGAATGGGCCCCTCGGTGAGGCCGAAACCAGCTGCATGCAGCAAATTTCGTACCCCCCCCTTTCCCAATCCCCCCCTTTCGCCCGGCCCGAGATGAGGAGGAGGGGGGAGACGCGGGGCGCTGTCTCTTCAGGGCGAAGACCCAGCTCGGCACAGGGTGGCTGGGGAAGCGGGGCGACGTGTTCCCGGCGCCGACGCACAGCAACACTCTGGGGGCAGCACAATGAAAGTATGTGATCGGCCTCCTGCTCGAATGACGACGCCTCCGTGGCGAGCTGCCCGCCCCGTCTCCTGCTCTCGTCTGGCAGCCTCCTCCTCCTCGGCCAGACGGCGCCGCAGCACCTGGGGGCACAGACACAGACGCCGATGCCGCTACTCCCAAGACCCCTCTGATACGGTCGGACCTATGACAGAAGAACACTCTTCAAGAACATGAGACCCGGCGGCGAGCGGGAGGAAATGAAAAGGGGCGGGCATTGTCAGAAGGCTCGGTAGACCCCTGGCCTTCTGAAGTGTGCCCGAAGGCCTCCCCGAAAACCGAAGACACAAATCACGTGTCACAAGACACGGGGCCTTCTGAGGAACCCCCACCGCCTTCTGAGAAGGCCGTCTCCTTTTCACTTCCCCCCTCGCACGTCGCCGAGAGACCCTCCGCCGGCTAAACACCACATGCCATAAGATCACTCGGAGATGCCCTCCCCCAGGATGCACAAGCGCATCCAACAAACACGAAGAACATGTGGGCGCCCTCCCCGAACAGCGATTTGCCCAAGCATCAGAATATTCTGATATAGTGATTAGTACATATAGTGATTAGTACACGGCCACGTGCAAGCAGTATCGCCCTCGATCTACTATCTCACTGGCTTGGTTTTTCATGGGCGTTAAGCAAAAACTAACGCGTAAGTATGATAGCACGCGCGCACTAAACGAGGGCGCGCGGGCCTTGCCTTTCCCCTTCGCAGCCCAAACAGTTGCGGTCCACGCGATATCGTCGATGATGTCAAGTAACGGCGGCGGCGGCGGGCGACGGCAAGAACATAACCATATTAACTCCCCCGCGGCACGATGCGTAGGCCTACTTACAGTTCCCTGCCGAGTTGCCAGACTGCGTGCAATCCCGAAGCACATTGGCCCCCCCGGCGCCAACCCCGCAAAAACGCTGTTGCGGCGCACGGGGCGAGATCGCATCTACTCCTGGCAAATCCTTGAAGCGGGCCGAAGCAGACCGACGTATCCCACAAATAGTACAGAGCGCGAAGTCAAAGACGTGCTAAGCCGAAGCATCGTAAGATTAAACCGCACGTTCCTCATGTATGATCGGCACAGTCGATAGAATCGTCTGCATTCACAACCGATGCCCGAATTGTGTGCGCGATCACGTCGTATTGCATTTCCATTTTCCGTTCGGGGGAAAGAAACGTTTGTACTCACAGATACTCCACTACTGCCATTTGCGGAAAAACCGGTGGTACACCCACTATCGATCCCCAGCATCGTTGTGCTCATACGCATCCCAACTATCAGTCTCGTTGTCGTCGTACTCCCTCTGGATGCTGCGCCCTCTTTCTTGCATCACCCTTGTTGCCACAAATCCCGTAAAAGTTGGCGACCCTTCCACAGGGTTCGTGACGTCGCCGGCATGGATGCCCGCGCGTCTACCTAGCCTCGAGTGCCGGGGAGCCTTCGGTGCCTCTGAGAGCAGGTCGCTTCGGGGGCGACGGCCAGCGACTCCACGGTGCCGGAGGCGGACGAGGCAGGTTAGGGGACCATATCGCTGCATCGCGGTCGGCTACCGGTTGGACCATCAGCCTGCCGCGGGTATCCTCCACCTACATAGCACCCTAGCCGATGCGGAGGCACCGCCGCTGACCAGGTCCGCAGCGGCTCCAGGCAGGGGCAGCCTCACCAGGCTGGCCCTGGCCCTCTGAGGCGACGCCACCAGCGGAGCCGGCAGCGGCCCCAGAGCCTGCCCTGCTGCTTTTATCAGTTCTGGCTGCTGATTTTCGGTTCTTATCAACATCCACGCGGCCCACACAGCGGCTGAACCGACAATGGGCTTTCATTCATCTTCGACAGCACGGATGACGCACAACGCGATCGCGGCAACTCGTTTGTCGCAGTCTGCCGCCATATGATCCCACAGCGTTGCACTATCGCATGGAATTTCCTCGGCCCACTTGAACTAAGCACCGAAATTGGCGATGCACGTGCGTATCAGGGAAGCGGGGCAACGTACCCGGGATCTGAGGTTGAGACCCATATCCTTCATGTAGGCCTCGATTAAGGCCGAACTTTCCACTGCCGTCTTGACCTCGGCGTCAACCGCCCAACCGTCAGTCCCTCTTTGTTTAGGGCAGTGTTCAACTCCAAACGGAACCTGGGACTCTACGTCCGAAACAGGAAAAGCGGCACAACGGCCCTCCGATGAACCTCGCAACGAAGCCCCTGCTTATTGCAAGCACCCTAAAGCACCGCAGCTCAAGGGAAAACTTGGGCAATGTCCTTCAATTGCCAATGCAGTACGTAAGGTATCGCACGATGATCCTCGCCACTGCCCGCCTCTTTCACGCACACCGTCATGTACTGGGCAGCCACGCTCTTGGCGTGGGTTTTGGATGTGAGAACGCAGATGGCCAGGCCAGGGCTTCTTCCAAGTTAGGGAACGGCACATCCTCACAACCATCGGGCTTGAGGATGTCGCTGTGTCCCCGGTCTAGAATGCACGTCCCACGGCACCATGGCAGCGAAATTGGATGAAAATAAAGCTTGACCTTCACTGTCGTCAGGACGCGACGAAAAGACGACGTGCTCAAGCGGTGGAACCGCATGAAGGGTCCTCCCTGTGCTCCCAAGACAGTGGTCGACCATTCAGCTCCCGACAGAGAGCCTCGTCGGGCGACCGATCTGGCCGCGCGACGGGGCCTGTCCTGGAAGCTTCCACTGGCCATCGCTCGGACGTCCATGCCCTGTGTTTTTTTCGGTTTCGTGCGTGGTTTCTCGCCAAATCATCAAGGATGCTCCTCGATGGTCCTCGCCGAAAGAAAAATGCACACGTCCGAGCGATGCCCAGGCCAACGCCCGCAGCCGGATTATCTGTCTGCGCCACAGGATTCGGGATCTCAGGGCCCGGCTGCGCGGCTGCAGCTGCTGGGCCACACATTGCACGGGCAGCCTCAGCAAGCCAGGCCGGCGAAGGGACGATACTCCCCCCGCCCACCTGAAAGTCCTCCCAGAAATCCCACCAGCCCTTTAGGGCGTAGGTGGTCTAGAGCGTTTCCTCTGCCAACCCCCCTTCTTTCCCTTCGGGGAGGGGTTTACCCCTCCCCTTACCCCTCCCCACTGACCTGGACGAGGCGTCTCGCGAGGTGTCAGGGCGCCCAAGATGGCTCAAGACGGCTCCAAGAGCGAAAAAGCGAGAAAGCACAAAACATTGATTCTACCTAGGTTTTGGAAGGATTTTGGCCTCTTGGGGGGGCCCAAGAGGCGCTTCGAGGCACTCTAGAGGGGCAACCCTAATTGGAGCTCCCCCCTTCTTTGATAGATCTCCTCCAAGATGGCCCCAAGAGCGCCCCGAAGGCTCCCAAGAGCGCCCCAAGAGCGCCCCAAGAGGGCCCCGAGAGACCCCAAGAGGCCCCCAAGAAGCCTCTAAGAGGCTGCCAAGAGACCCCCAAGAGGCCCCAAGAGAGTTCAAGATGGCCCAAGACGGCTCCAAGAGCGAAAAGGCGAGAAAGCAACAAACAATGATTTTACCTAGGTTTTGGAAGGATTTTGGCCTCTTGGGGGGCCCAAGAGGCGACTCGAGGCACTCTAGAGGGGCAACGCTAATTGGGGACCCCCTCTTCTTTGATCGATCTCCTCCAAGATGGCCCCAAGAGCGCCCCGAAGGCTCCCAAGAGCGCCCCAAGAGCGCCCCAAGAGCGCCCCAAGAGGCCCCAAGAGGCGCCCAAGAGGCCTCCAAAAGGCTCCCAAGAGACCTCCAAGAGGCCCAAGAGGCTCCCAAGACGGCCCAAGACGGCTCCAAGAGCGAAAAGGCGAGAAAACACAAAACATTGATTTTACCTAGGTTTTGGAAAGATTTTGGCCTCAAGAAGGGCCCAAGAAGCGATTCGAGGCACTCTAGAGGGGCAGCGCTAATTGAGGACCCCCCCTTCTTTGATAGATCTCCTCCAAGATGGCCCCAAGAGCGCCTCGAAAGCTCCCAAGAGCGCCCCAAGAGCGCCCCAAGAGAGCCCCAAGAGGCCCCAAGAGGCCCCCAAGAGGCCTCCAAGAGGCCCCCAAGAGACCCCCAAGAGGCCACAAGAGGCTCCCCGAGATACGCAAGAGGCCCCCGGGACCGCCAAGAGGCTCCAAAGACGGCCCAAGAGGCCCCCAAGCTCGCCATTGTCCTCCTCCTCCTCCTCTTTTTCTTCCTCCTCCCTCCTCCCCCTCCCCCTCCTCCTCCTCCTCCTCCTCCTCCTTTTCCTTTTCCTCCTTCTCGTCCCCCTCGTCCTCGCAGTCCTCCATCTCCTCCTCCTTATCTTCCTCCTCCTCCTCCTCCTGCTCCTCCTCCTGCTCCTCCTCTTCCTCCTCCTACTCCGACGACGACGGCTCCTCCTACATCCTCCCCCTCTTGGGGTATATGGCGGCTCACCCCGCCCTTTGTTCTTCTGCATGCTCCCCCGCTCGCCCAAAAAGGGGCCCCAAGAGGCTCCAAGAAGCGCCCCAGAGGCTTCCAGGATGATCCCAAGAGACTCCCAAGATGCCAAAATCCATCCAAAACTTTAGAAAAATCAACGTGTTTTGCTTAGGCCTGAAGATGGCTCCAAGATGGCCCAAGAAGGCACCAAGAGAAGCCCAAGAGAGCTCCAAGACGGCCCCAAGAGCGCCCAGGAGCGCTCCAATATTGCCTCAGGTGGAGTCCACGAGGCGATTCGAGGCACTCTACAGGGGCAGCGCTAATGAGCGACTCCCCTTCTTTGATTCATCCCCTCCAAGATGGCTCCAAGAGCGCTTGGAAAGCTCCCAAGAGCGCCCCAAGAGCGCCCCAAGCTCCCAAGGAACCTCAAAACTCTCTTTCCGAAGAGGCCCCCCAGCTCGCCATTGTCCTTTCCGAAGACGGCTCCAAGAGGCCCCCAAGAGACCCCCAAGAGGCCACAAGAAGCTCCCCGAGATACGCAAGAGGCCTCCGGGACCGCCAAGAGGCCCCAAAGACGGCCCAAAAAGCCCCCAAGCTCGCCATTGTCCTCCTCCTCCTCCTCTTTTTCTCCCTCCTCCCTCCTCCCCCTCCCCCTCCTCCGCCTCCTCCTTCTCCTCCTCCTCCTCCTCCTTCTCGTCCTCCTCGTCCTCGCCCTCCTCCATCTCCTCCTCCTCATCTTCCTCCTCCTCCTCCTCCTCCTCCTCCTCCTGCTCCTCCTCCTGCTCCTCCTCCTGCTCCTCGTCTTCCTCCTCCTACTCCGACGACGACGACTCCTCCTACATCCTCCCCCTCTTGGGGCGTATGGCGGCTCAACCCGCTCTTTGTTCTTCTGCATGCTCCCCCGCTTCCCTCATCACCTCCACTCCCCTGGAGCTCATTTCTGGACGGGCTGGTGGGGATACGCGAAGCGTCTAGAATTCCACCCGCCAGGGGGTGTGGCGACTTCGACCCTCACACCCTCCCAATCAGATATCGCCAACGGGGGGCAAAGCCATGGGCGTCGAATGCTGACATACCAACTTCCACAACTGTCTCCAATAAACGGATACAGGGGTGACATTCTTCTACTTAATGCATTCGATTAACCATTCTTGAGCGTGTCCATGAAGCGTAAAATCGGCTCATTTTTCATTGGGGGACGATCAGGCGGGTGCACGGCTTCCCACGAGGGAATGGACCCCGGTTCACTGTTAGGAATCGTCTATCCTCCACGGGACATCTTCAACTGCGTTTGCTGAATTTTGAAGCATCGTCGCATCGACCTATCGCACATACGAAGGCAATTCTCGACGATGGCCGAAGAGGACCCCTGCCTGCTACGTCGCTGAGCGACGGTCAGGTTAATGTTCTCGTGCTCCACTATCAGCTTCAATCCCCCGTGCCTCAGGCTCTCTTGGATAGCCCTCAATGACCTCGGAAGGAATGAATCCCGATCGGATCGGATCGCTTGGCTGCATCGGACCGCTGAAATATCGGAATCGAATCGGACCGGGCCGGCCCGAATCGACACCGAATGGAATCGATCGGATCAGAACAGACACTGGGTGAGGGTAGCGGTGCGATTTCTTTTCCCATCATCATCACCATCATCATCGCCAGCATCATCATCATCATCATCATCATCATCATCACCATCAACAGCACCATCATCACAAGCATCATCACCACCACCATCATCATCATCATCATCATCAACATCATCGGAATCATCATCATCATTGTCATCAGCATTGTCATGATCAGCACCACGATCATCATCATCATCATCATCATCACCATCAGCATGATCATCACCAGCATCGTCATCAGTCTCAATATCTCATCACCTTCACCGTCATCATCACCATCTTGACAGCATCGTCATCACGATCATCATTACCATGAGCACCATGATGAACATCATCACCATCATCTTCATCATCATCACCATCATCATAATCATCACGCATGTCACTCAAATCGTCATTATCATCATCACAACCGTCGTCACAATCATCATAACCACCACCATTTCCACCGCCACCAACGTCATCATCATTATCATCATCACCATCTGATTCAGTATTATCATCATCAAAATCATCAGTAGCACCATCATCATCATCATCGTCGTCATCACCATCGCCATCGGCATCACCAACATCGTCATCCGCATAATCGCCATGAGCATCACCATCACAGAGCTCATCATCATAATCATGATCATCATCGTCACTTTCATCAGCAACATCATCATGATCATCATCATCACCATCATCAGCTTAGTCACCTTGGTGATCATCATCATGTCCGTCATCATCAGCACGATCAGCAACATCGCCATCATCATTAACATGATCATCATCAACATCACCATCATCAACATCCTTATACTCGTCTTCATCATCACAAGAACCGTCATCAGCACGACCATCATAACACCCGAATCATCACCACCATGATCGTCATCATCAGCAGCATCGTCACAATCATCATCACCACCACCTCCATCATCAGCAGAATTAGGATTACAATCATCATCAGCATCGTGATCACCATCGCCATCATCATCACCATCATCGCCATCATCATCATCATCATCATCACCATCATAACCACCATCGTCCGAATGAAAAATGCTCATCATTACAATCAGTATCAGTATCATCATCATCATCGACATCAGCATCATCAGAATCATCATCACCAGCATAACAATGAACATCATCGTCGCAATGATCATCATCATCGTCATTTGCATCACCACCATCATCACCATCATCATCATGATCGTCAACACCACAATCACCACCATCACCACCAGTATCACGGTGATCGTCATTATCAGCATCATCATCAGCAACATCGTCATCGACATCGTCATCATCATCAGCATGTTTACCATCATCACCATCTTCCTACGCAGAATTGGCATCATCATCGTCATCATCACCATCATCAGCATCACCATTATCATCGTAATCTCCAGCATCGTGATCATCATCACCATCACCATCACCGTCATCATTACCAGCAACAGCAGCCGCATCGTCATCATCACCAGCATCATCATTACCATCACCCTCACCATCATCATCACAGCCATCAGCAGCAGCAGCACAGCGAATTTGGTCATCTGCATAACCAGAAGCAACACGAGAATCATCATGCACAACACCATCATCAACAACACTGACATCGTCGTCACAACCGACATTACCATCACCATCATCATCAGCCGCCTCACCATCATCACCATCAGCATTCCCATTATCAACAGCATCATCAACATCATCATCATCAACGTCATCGGCATCATGATCATCACCATCATCATCACCAGCACCACCATCAGCATAATCAACATCAGCATGGTCATCACCACCATCACCATCTTACCATGTTCATCACCGTCCGAATCATCACCATCAAACGCACCACCGAAATCGTGATTCCCTTAATAAATTCAATCCTGATCACGATCATCATCGTCATCATCATCACAATCACCATCACCATCATCGCCATCATCAACCGCATCACAATAATCATCATTCTCAGCATCAAACATCATCGTCAGCATAACCGTCATCATGGTCATCATCATCAACAACAACAGCATCGCAATCATCACAATCATCAGCATCATACCTATCATTAGCATCACCGTCACAATCATCATCAAGATCAGCATCATCACGATCAGCACCACCCGCATCATCATCATCATAATTGTCATCAGCAACAGCTGCATACTAGACAAGGCCATCGGCCCCAAGAGCAGCAGCATCATCATCACCAGTACCATCGTCATCATCGTCGTCAGCATAATCATCAGCATCAGCATCAACCCCATCATCATCACTATCATCATCGCCATAATCATCATCATCATCATCGTCAGCATACCATCATCACCATCACCGTCACCATCACCCTCATCAGCATCATCGACACGATCAGCATCAGCATCAGCAGCACCCTGGACTTCGCCATCGGCCTGACTAGCAGCAGCATCATCAGCATCACCACTATCGTCATCATCATCACCATCATCACTAACATCACCATCATCAGCATCACATCATCATCATCATCATCATCATCATCATCATCATCATCATCATCATCATCATCGTCATCACCACCAGCATCATCAGTATCATTATCATCGGCATCATCACCACCAGCACCACAACCACAACCATCATCAGCACCACAATCCTAGGCTGCGCCATTTGCCTCACCAGCAGCGACATCATCATCAGCATCATCAACATCATCGTCATCACAATCATCATGAGCACCAGCATCACCATCCTCGTCGTCATAGTCAACCGCATCGTCATCATCACCATCATCACCGTCGTCAGCAACAGCGGCATCATCACCACCATCAGCATCACCAACATCATCGTCGTCATCATAATCATCATCAGCATCAGCATCACCATCCTCGTCGTCATCATCACCCGCATCGTCATCATCACCATCATCACCGTCGTCAGCAAGAGCAGCATCATCACCACCATCAGCATCACCAACATCATCGTCACCATCATGATCATCGCCACCATCAGCAGCAGCAGCATCCTTGACCTCGCCATGTGCCTCACCAGCAGCAGCATCATACTCACCATCACCATCACCATCATCGCAATCACCACCACTACCATCATCGCTATCACCACCACTACCATCATCATTACCATAATCATCACCATTAGGCACCATCAGTCATCACCATCATCACTCATCATCATCATCATCATCATCATCATCACCACCATCATCGTCATCTTCATTATCGCCACCATCATCCTCATCATGCACTTCGCCATCGGCCTCATCATCATCAGCAGCAGCACCCTGGACTTCGCCATTGGCTTCACCAGCAGCAACATCATCAGCACCGCACTCGTCGTCATTATCATCACACCCATCACTACCATCATAATCACCATCAGCACCATGATCATCATCATCACCATCATCATCACCATCATCATCGCCACCTCCATCTGCATCATCATCATCATCATCATCAGCATCATCATCATCATCATCATCAGCAGCAGCAGCATCATCATCATCGTCATCGTCATCAGCATCGTCATCATCATCATCATCATCAGCATCGTCACCATCGTCGTCGTCATCAGCATCAGCATCATCATCAGCATCAGCATCAGCATCAGCATCAGCGTCAGCATCACCATCAGCACCCGACGGCCTGGGGCGCCCCCCCCCCACGGTCGGGGAGCACCTCCTCCTCGGCCAGCTGCCGCTCCCGGGCCTCGCGCGTGCGCTGCTGCATGCGCTGCCGCGTCCTCTCCCGCAGCTGCTCCGCCGCGGCCTCCCTCTCGACGTGCAGGTGCGCCCGCGCCTCTGCGCACGCGGGCGGGCGGGCGGGGGAGGACGCCTGCGGCGACGGCGGCGGCGGCGGCGGCGACAGCGACGACGACAGCGGCGGCAGCTTCCACGACGACGGGAACGGCGGCGGCGCTGACGGCGGCGGCTGCGGCGGCGACAGTGACGGCAGCGGCGACGGCGACGGCGACGGCGAGGGCGGCGGCGGCGGGGGGCACGGCGATGACCACGGACGAGAAGACGTCCTCATGCCTCTGCAGGCTCGCAGGGGCCCAGGAGGCCCCCAGAGAACCACCGAGGCCCGACGGCGACGCCGGACGTGTGGCGACAGCGTTCGACGTTCGGCGTTGCTCGATGTTCGATGTTCAACGTTTGAAGACGACGACGACGACGACGACGAGGGCAGCTGCCAGCATCAAATCGGCAAATCGGGTCGGATAAGGACATGCGTCGAATCGGGTCGCATCGGCAAAGAGTCGGAGTCGGATCGAGACACCTACGCAAGGATGCATAACAGCGCCGTCATAGCCTTGAGGCGCATCGGATCTTAGGGAAACCTAAATCAAATCGGGTCGAGCTGGCCGCCGAAGCCGAGATCGAAGCGGATCGATCGGATCAAACTTGGCCTTCCAAAGGCGTGCATTGGCGGCAGACAAAACATGGTTGTGCGAAGAGGGGGCCTTCTGAGAAGACCGGGAGACTCGTGAGGATAAGAGGCCCTCCCATGAGGGCACGGGAGCGTCTACGAAGCCTCCCCAGAAGCCAACGGGCCGATCCGAGAACCAGGAAGGCCTATCCCTTCAAACGAGCACGCAGCCTTCTTCAAGTCCCACTTGCGAAACACTGCCCGAGGCTTCCACGGACCTCTTTGAAGGGGCCCCAGGACACACAAATAAATACACACAAATAAAAAGATTCGCCATATTTTCCCATATTTTCTGGGTGTTTGTCTTCCCCCCCACTTCCCAGACTTTCCGATATTTTCTGGGAATCGACGATTGATTGTGTCTGTGTGTTTTTTCCCCTCCGGACCTCTTGGATCGGCGCCGGGCGGCCCTCCCATGGCACACGGAGTGCGCCGCCGTGGGAGCCCAGCGCCGACCCAAGGAGTCCCCGCGCGGACCTCTGAAAATCGGCACAGTCGAAAATGGTACACCCTGCGAGATGCTTAAGAAATCATGGGTTAAGAAATTAATAGTCTCAGAATTTGGATGAAAACCCAGAATTCCTTTCGAAATCTTAGGATTTACATTGAAGCATTAAGAATGATCGAGACTCTGGCCGAAAACTCAAGTTTTCTTCAGCATCGCCTGAGGTGTACTCCGGATTCCATGACAAAGTGGGGGGGGGTCACAGTTGGCGGGGGGGTCTGATTCGAGCTGTCTTGGAGGGTTCGGGGGGGGTCCGGGCAAGGTGCCGCCCTTGCATGGATGGTCTGGGGGGGTCTAAAACTTCTGGTCTGGGAGGGTTGTGACCCCCTCCCTTTTGCTACGAAACCTGGAGTAGCAAGCATGCACGATAAAGATGCAAGGACCTCGGAAGGCGGGGGCGGGCCGCGGCCAGCGAGCGGGCCGCGGCCAACGAGAGCGGCCAAGGGCAACGAGGCCGAAGGGAAAAGAGGCAAGGGCAGCCTTGGAAAGGTGGCCCATCCTTACCGTTGTGGGCGCCACGACAATGGACATCCTAACAGTCCGATCATTGAATATAAAATGAGTCAGACGTGTCGGAAATGTTCTAAGCATGCTTTAACACCTGTTTAAAACATGTTTGACACGCGTTCTGAACATGCTGAAAAACAGATTCTAAAGCATGCGCTAAACATGTTTAAGTTGGCAACATGCTCCCTCTCCATTGATCGTCCTCCACAATACGTACCATCGGTTTTGACCGTACTGCCGATTGACCTTTCCCGACTCTGAGAAGAGCCCCCCGCCTTCTTTCAGGGCCGCAACCCTCGCGCCACCCTTCGTTGCGCGCCGCCAGTGTCGGCGGTGGACAAGCCTCCCTTTCGCAAACCTCCCCTTAGTGAAAACGGCCTGGGGCCTTCGTGGGCCCCAGAAACGGCAGAGCCGTTTTTTCACCGTTTCCAAAAAAATGCCCATTGAAAATAGAAACGGCAAAAAAACGGCGACAGGAGACGGCAAAAAAACGGCTCCAGGATTGGAACCGGAGCCGGAACCGGTCAAAAAACGGCGACGGAACCGGTAAAAAAACGGCGTCGGAACCGGCAACAAAACGGCGAAACGGAACCGGTAAAAAACAAAAAAACGGCCCACCAAGCCTGGGACCGAAACCGACGGACCTGGACCCGCAAACACCACGGCCGCAACGCCCTCCCGCAAACCGAAAACGGCCCATTCCTGGATCGGCGGGTCCGGGCAGGAGGTCCATCATAAAACAGGGCTAGGATCGGGATAAATCGCCTCAGAGCGTTCCGGAGCGCTCTCAGAGCGTTCCGGAACGCTCTGGAGCGGCCGCGGCGCCCAATACATCCTCCAAACCCGCCGATTCTCAGAGATTTCGAGTTATCCCGATCCGATTTTGTCCCGATCTTCGCGTCGTTTGACATCAGCCTCCGACAAATGGAGGCCGTCGCAGGGCCCAATTCGATCCGATCGACTCGCCCCGATCTCGGTCTCGACCGGCCCGATCCCTGGACAAGAATCCCTTGGAGGCGGAGGATGGGAGGAGGAGGAGGAGGAGGAGGAGGAGGAGGAGGAGGAGGATCTTGGGGAGGAGGAGGAGGAGGAGGAGGAGGAGGAGGAGGGGAGGAGGGAGGGAGGAGGAGGAGGAGGGAGGAGAGGAGGAGAGGAGGTGCATATCTTGGGGACCCCCCACCCTCTGCCCCCCGGGACGCTCCTGGGCAGGGTGGGCCAGCGCTCGGACGCGGGCGGCGAGGCGCCTCCGCGGCGCTGTCCCGTGCGCGCCGCCGAGATAGGGAGGAGGAGGAGGAGGAGGAGGAGGAGGAGGAGGAGGAGGAGGAGGAGGAGAAATCCCTGGCGGCCCGAGGCGCCTCCGCGGCGCTGTCCCGTGCGCGCCGCCGATAGTGTGCCCGGAGCTCCGACGTCGCGGCTCGTGCTCTCGTGCTTCACTGCGCTTATAGGTCGGGTGTGTCCCACTGCAGGCGGGTTTTTGGGGCGAGGCAGCAAAACATATACTCCCAAGACAAGCCCCCAAAGGGTCAAAGATAGTAAGACCATGCTCCCAGACTGTTTTGGTTGTTCCCAAGATGCCCCCAAGTGGCCAGAGATGGTAAAACCATGTTTTTCCAGACTGTTGTGGAGGCTCTTTCTGAACGCTCCTCTTGCAGAGGGGCAGGCCCGACTTCACCCTGGAGCCAAATCTCCATCCCGCACCTCGGGGATCTTCTGACCCGGGTCAATCCAGACCCGGGTCAGCAGGAAACCAAAAACTGCAGAAAACAAAAAATTAAAAAACTGCAGCGCAGGCCTTCGCAGACCCGGGCCAGCCACTAGGCGCGGCCGCCTCGCGGCCACGAGCGGCTCGCCAACCCGGGTCAGCCAGAGGGATCTTCGCAGGATCCTGCAGGATCCGGTGCCGTGGCTGACCCCCGTTTCCATTGACCCCCGTTTCAAGGCTCGAAGGATTGCAACAAAAACCGAAGGATTGCAAAAAAACCGTTTCGAGGCTCGAAGGATTGCGAAAAAACCCTTGGTTTTTTTGCAATCCTTCGTTCAGAGCACCGCCTCTTCCGAAGGGCCCCCGGGCACCCGAGAGGCGGGGGCCCGCGGAGGCCCGCGGCAGGACCACCGAGAGGCCCCCGCCGCAGGGCGTGCCTCTTTCGCGACGGCAGGAGAAGAAAGAACGCCATGAGCAACTCGGGGGCGGCTGGCGAGGGGGGGGGGGCCCGGGGGGTGGGGGGGGGCGAAGGATAGAGGAAAAAGAACTATGCACATACACCGATTCTGGCCAGGCCCATTCTGAGCCCACGATCGGTGCATACGCCCTCCTACCTTGGCCAGGAAGGCATATGCACCGATCCTGGGTCAAGGATGGGCCTTGCCAGGATGGGTGCATGTGCATAGTTCTCTTCGCCCGAAAGGACGGGGCCCCGACGGGGTGAGGGCCCCGCGCGGCCCCTGTTGTGGAGCCGGCAGGGGCCCGGCAGGGGGTCTCCCTCCGGGGCCCTCGTCTCCGCTCCCCCCCCCCCCGCCCACTCGGGGCACCCCCCCCGGGCGCCACCCCCGCCCGAGCGCCTCGGTGTTCGGCTCCCGGCGCGAGCAGGGCTGGGGCGGGGCGCCCCTGGCAGGAGCTCGGGCCTGTCCTCCTAAAAAAAAGGCATGTCGGACGAAAATTAAGAATACGAAAGCGAATACCCCCAACATGCCCGAGAGTGGTCCATAAATCGTCCCCAGACTACTCTTTGACTACTTTTAACGGTTCCCCCTGTAGAGGGACAGGCCCGACCTAGCAGAAGCACCTTCTTGGGGCGCTCCGCGCGGATTTCTTGGATCCGCGCTGGACCCCCCCCCTGGCGCGCGGAGCGCGCTAGGGGCGGCGCCGGAGGCGCCGCCAGGTGACCCCAGCGCGGATCCAACAAATCCGCGCGGAGCGCCTGAAATTTATGTTTATGGCGATTTGTTTAAGATGAGAACCTGTGCTCCGGCATTGTTTTATTTCCCAGCGCAATTTTGGGAGGAGAAGGCGGGAAGCAGAAGGGAATGACGGCGACAAACACTCGAAGAGCACTCGAAAGTGAAGCTCTGTCCCAGAAACAATCCACTCAGGCTCGAAAGAGGCGAAAGAAAAACCAATCCGTGCATCCGAGCTCAAGCTCCGTGCACGACCACGCAAACTCAAAGCCAGACAATATTTCCATGCCAGACAGCCCCATGCCGACACGTTGATGCAAAGTGGTCGAGGATGACCTCGCGCAGTACAAAACAGTTCTGGGTAAGTATGGTGGTCAGGCGGCCACTGCACCAATGTGAACAATAAGAAAACCCAAAACAGCAGGAGGAAAGGAAAACAGGCAGGGAGGCACAGATAGCAGAGAGGGGGAGGCCGAGGGGCCAGGAAGGAGGACAGCGAGCTGGTTAGGGGAGCTCAGCCTGACCAAAAACCGGACCTGTCGCGCATATGTAGCTGGACAGCAGGTTTCCGCGTCCACCCCCCCATTACCATCTCGAGATGACGACGGTTATGCTAGCATCACCCGGCGCGCACACCGGCGAGTCAAAGTACACGCCTCGAGGGCCTGTGCTCCGGCAGGCACGCAGAAAAACTTCATGCTGTGCGCGTGCTCCGCAGCCCGCGGTTTCCTCGAACTGAAGGGGCCCTGGGACACACAAAGAAATACACACAAACAACAGGATTCCCTCCTATTTTCCAATACTTTCTGAATTTTTGTCTTCCCCCCCCCACTTCCCATATTTTCCCATACTTTCCTGGGGGTCGACGATTCATTGTGTCTGTGTTTTTTTCACCTCCTGAGATTCATCCCCAGATCTATCCAAGGGTGCGTTGTGACCAAAATCACCTCGAAGCGCGCCAACCCTGGGCGGCGAGGACGGCCCCCGTGGGAGCCCCCCGTGCAGGGGCCGAAGACTGCGCAAAGGCGGGCATCGTCATCGTCATCGTCATCATCATCATCGTCGTCGTCGTCGTCGTCGTCGGCGTCGGCGCCGGCGTCGGCATCAGCGTCGGCTTCGGAGTCGGCGTCGGCGTCGGAGTCGGCGTCTGCGCCACCGCCGCCGCCGCCGCCGTCGTCCTCGCCGTCGTCAGAGTCGGCGTCGGCGTCGGCAACGCTGCCGCCACCGTCACAAACGCCGCCGTCGTCGCCGCTGCCGTCGTCGTCGTCATCGTCATCAGAATCCTCGTCATAATCATCATCTAAAAAGGCGATAAAGGCGAACACTGCGAAAAGGCGGGCATCGTCATCGTAGCCGTCGTCGACCTCGTCCCCATCCTCATCCTCGTCGTCGCCTTCATCGTCGCCGTCATAGTCGTCGCTCTCGTCGTCGTCGCCGCCACCGCCGCTTGCGTCGTCGCCCTCGTCGTCCGCGTCCAAGCCATCACCATCGTCGGAATCGGCGTCGACGTCGGCTTCGGCGTCGGCGCCATCGTCGGCGTCGTCGTCGTCTTCGTTGACATTCGCACCATCGTCTCAGCCGCAGGCGTCATTGTCGCTGGCGTCGGCGTCACAGTCGCCGCTGTACTGGCGCGGTCGTTGCCGTCAATCCCGTGCTCGCCCGCGTCCTTGTCATTATCCACGTACCCGTCGTCGTCGTAGTCGTCGTTGTCGTCTTCGTCGTCGACGTTTTCGTCGGCGTCGCCGTCGCCGTCGTCGTCGACGTGTCCGTCGGCGTCGGCGTCGGCAACGGCGTCGGCGTCGGCGTTGGCGTTGGCGTCGGCACCAGCGCCGACGTCGCCGTCGTCGTCGTCGTCGTCTTCGTCGTCGTCGTCGTCGCCGTCGCTGGGGTTGGTCGTCGTCGTCGTCCTCGTTCTCGTCCTCGTCCGCGTCCTTTTCCTCGTCCTGATGCTCGTCGTCAGCGTCGTCCTGGTCGTCAGAACGCCGACGTCGACGTATTTGTCACCGTCCTCGTCGCTGTCGTAGTACTCATCCTCCATCGTCGCCGTCGCCGTCGTCGTCGTCGCCGCCATCGTCGCCTTCCTCGTCCGCGTCGTCATCAGATCGTCTTCGTCCTCGTCGTCATCCTCGACGTCGGCATCGGCGTCGGCGTCGGCGTCGGCCTCGGCGTCGTCGCCGTCGCCGCCGGCGCCGTCGTCGTCGTCGCCGTCGCCGCCGCCGTCGTCGTCGTCGTCGTCATCCTCGTCCGCGCCCTCATCCTCGTCCAAGCGGTCGTCGCCGCCGCCGTCGTCGGCGTCGTCATCGAACTCGTCGTCGTTGTCGTCGTCAGATCATCCCCGTCCTCGTCGTCGTCATCGCCCTCGTCGCCGTCGTCGTCAAATCATCGTCGTCGTCGTCGCCGTGGTCATCGTCCATCGTCGTCGTCGTCATCGACGTTTTTTCGACATGGTTTTCGTCGTCGTCGTCCGCCGTCGCGGCCGAAGTCGCCGTCGTCGTCGCCGCTGTTGTCGTCATCGTCATCGACGTCTCGCCGCCGCAGCTGCCGCCGTCGGCGACGTCGTCGTCGCCATCATCATCGCCCTCGTCCTCGTCTTCGTCGTCGTCTTGGGCGCCACCGTCCCCGTCGCCGTCATCGTCGCCGTCGTCTTCGACGTCGTCGTTGTCGTCATCGGATCGTCCTCGCCCTCGTCGTCGTCGCCTTCCCCATCGTCGTCGTCGTCGTTACCATATCGGCGTCGACGTCGTCTTTGTACAATCGCCGACATAGTCGTCGTCTGCGGCGCCGGCGTCGCCGTCGGAATCGGCGCCAGCGTCAGCGTCATCGTCGGCGGCGTCGACGTCTGCTGCGACGTCGGCGTCGGCGTCGGAATCGGCGCCGGCGTTGGCGTCGGCGTCGGCGCCGCCGGCGGCGTTAGCATGGTCGTCGTCGCCGTCACCGTTGGCGTCGTTATCGTCCTCGTCACCGGGCCGTCGTTTTCTTCGGCCGCGTCATCTGCCTCGTCCTCGTCCTGGTCTTCGTCGTCAGCGGCACCGTCGTCGTCGTCCGGGTTCTCGTCGTCGTCATCCTCATCCTCGTCATCGTAGTCAGTCGGCGTCCTCGTCCTCGTCCTCGTCGGTTTTCGTCGACGAGGTAGTCATTCGTCGTCCTCGCCGCCGCCGCCGCTGCCACCGCAACCACGGTCGGCGTCGTCGTCGTCTTCTTCGTCGTCATCGTCATCGTCATCGTGGGCGTCGACGTCGTCGTCGTCGCCAGCGTCGAGGGCAGCGTCGGCGTTGGCATTGGCGTCGGCGTCGTCAGCCCGCCGCCAACGTCGACGTCGTCGTCGCCGGAATCGTCGCCGTCGGCGGCGTCGCGGATGTCGCCGTCGTCTTCGCTGCCGCCGACGCCGAAATCCTTGTCGTTGTTGTCGTTGCCGTCGTCCGCGTCTTCTGCGTTATCCTCGTCCTCGACGTCGATGTCGTCGTCATCGTCCTCGTCCTCGTCGTTGTCGTTGTCTCTCGTCGTCAAAATCGTACTCGTCTCTCGACGACATCGTCGTTGTCGTCGCCATCGTCGCCGTCGGCGCCGTCGTCGTCGCCGTATTCGTCGGTTGCGATGTCGTCGTCGTCGCCACCGTCGGCGTCGTCAAGGTCGTTGTCAGCGACGTCGCCGAGGTCGCCTTCGTCCCGTCGTCATCCTCGTCGTCAGTATCGCCCCCGACGTCGTCGTCGTCATGAAAGTAAGCGTCGCCGTCGTCGTCGCCGTCGTCGTCGCCGTCGCCAACGTCGTCGCCGCAGCCGCCGTCGTCGCCGTCGTCGCCGTCGTCGGCATCGTCGTCGCCGTAGTCGTCGTCGTCGTCGTCGTCGTGGTCGTCGTCGTCGTCGTCGTCGTCGTCGTCGTCGTCGTCGTCGTCGGCGTCGTCGTCGCCGTCGTCGTCGTCGTCGTCGCCGTCGTCGGCGTCGTCGTCGTCGTCGTCGGTCGCCGCCGCCGCCGTCGTCGCCGCCGTCGTCGTCGTCGTCGGCTTCGTCGTCGTCGTCGCCGCCGTCGTCGTGGTCGTCGTCGTCGTCGTCGTCGTCGTCGGCGTCGTCGTCGTCGTCGTCGTCGTCGGCGGCGGCGGCGTCGGCGTCGGCGTCGCCGCCAGCGGTGTCGGCGTCGGCGTCGGCTTCGGCGTCGGCGTCGGCGTCGGCGTCGGCGGCGTCGGCCCGGCGTCGTCGGCGTCGGCGTCGGCCTCGGTGTCGGCCTCGGTGTCGGCGTCGGCGTCGGCGTCGGCGTCGGCGGCGTCGGCCCGGCGTCGTCGGCGTCGGCGTCGCCGCCGCGCGCGCCTCCTCCTCGGCCTCGAGGCTCTCCTGCCGCCGGGCGCGCTCAGCCTTCTCGCGCTCGGCCACGCGGCGGAGCGCCTGCTGGGGCAGCTCCTCCGCCGCCTGCCTCGGGGAACACAAGGATCAGCCGACCCAGTCGGCGTGGGGTCTCGGGGATACCCCAGGCAGTCCCCCCTGTGGGGAGGGGGAGGAGGAGGAGGAGGAGGAGGAGGAGGAGGAGGAGGAGGAGGAGGAAAGGGAGGAGGAGGAGGAGGAGGAAGAGGAGGAGGAGGAGGAGGAAGAGGAGGAGGAGGAGGAGGATGTGGAAGAGGAGGACACATGAGCTCGGGACCCTTCCCCACCGCCTGGGCCCCCGCTCGGGCCCTGGCCCCTGCCCCGGTCCCAGCACAAGCTCCGCCCCGAACCCAGGTCCCGGCCCTGGCCCGAGCCTCGGCCCCGGCTCCGGCCAGACGGTCCTCCTCCTCCTCCTCCTCCTCCTCCTCCTCCTCCTCCTCCTCCCCCTCCTCCTCTTCATCCTCCTTCTCCTTCTTCTCCCCGCAGCCATTTTGGCTTAAGCCATTTTGGCTCAAGTTGCCATCTATCAAGGCAGCTGGCTAGGTCAGCAGTTCGGCGCAGTGGGTAGACAGGCGCAACGGCCTGGCCCACACGCTCCCTCCAGTGAGCGCCAGCATGGTGCCAGGGCCGCCGCCGCCACCGCACCCAGCGGTGCTTCGCGGGCCTCGGCGGCCCACATAGGCATGTGGACGGTGTTCGGCCTCGGCGAACTGGGCATCAAGAGTCCGCTGCCAGTGCGGGAATGAAGCGCTGTTTCGTATCAAGCGTGATGCTTGGGCCGCCCATGAGGAGATCCTGGCGAAAGGAGGTTCCTCGGGCGGGCAAGTCAACTACAGCAAGCAGAAGAACACAGAGAAGGACGATACAAGCAAGCGTCTGGAAACCATCGAGAAGATGCTCCGTGGCGGGGGCGGTCTTGCATCGACGAACACGACGTTCTCCAAGACCTGGCCTGCGCCGGGTGAAGGTATTCCGCCGTGGAAGAAGGACCCAGATGGCACGGGTATGCAAGTCGAAGAGGATGATGCCACCAAGCGGTCCAAGTTGTCTAGCCAGATTGCGCAATATAAATCGATTCTCAAAACACTACCTGGGGATGACAGTGATCCGCTCAAAGTTGCGCTGAAGACAAACTCGAGGCCTTGCGGGCACAGCACAGGGCGCTTCGGACCCCTGCGCAGTCTCACCGACGTGCTCAGCAGGACCTTGACAAAGCGAAGTTGCATCGCACCAAGCTCGAGAATGAGATCAGCTAGAATTGGAGAAATTGCAGGAAGCGCCGGAGTCTCGGAGGGCACAATTATTTGCGAAGCAGAGAGAGATTACCACCTTGGAGGAGGAGTTCCAGCGTACGGCCAAACTCGTCGGCCCCGCAGAGTCCGAGCCTCCTAAGGTGCCCCCGACATTCAGCTTTGATGTCAAGGCAGAGGAGGTCAATGACACAGAGTTGCAAAGTGTCCTATCGTCAGAGTTGTGCACCAAACTTCAGGATCACCTCAAGGCAGATGGAGGGACAGCCACGCCGCCCGTTCCTGGCGCTACTCATCCTGCTGGTGATGGTTCCCCTCCTTCTGCAAGTGATGGGCAGAAGCGTTCTGTCGAGGACCTGTCCGACGAGGAGAAGCGAACGTTGTTTGAGGCTGGTGACTATGAATCCTTCAACATCCGTCTCCGCGAGCTCGCGAAGAAGCCACGCTTGGGGTAGCGGATTGGAGGCATCGTCGTCGGCTTGGAGATCAGACGGTTTTGTTCCTGTACGTGTCTCAGGGATTCAAGTTTCAATGGCTGTAAAGTTCAAGCCAGCGCAGACGCCGCCGTCACAGAGGTTGTATGCATTTGAGACGTTCAACGCGAATGGTGGCCGTGAGACACTCAAGGACCGTGTCCGCCGTTCCAGTGCTCACGTCAGATTAGCGCAGGGGATTGGATATGATGCCAGCAATGTGGAGTCTTTCTACATGTGGGCACACAATCGTGGATGGAAGTTGGTTGCAGTTTCAGGCAGTGCGAATGCGAAAGGTCACCCATCAGCAGGTGTGGCAGTACTCGCGCGAGCTGATATCGGGCTCCGCAAACCCGAGCATGGCCAACATGTTCTGCACCCACACAAGCTCCATCATGTCCTGGTCGATTTGCCTGGGTGGCCGCCGTTCCACGGTCTTAATGGCTGCCTCAAGGATACGGTCGGACCAACTGGGATGAGTTCTACTATACTTGCGTCAATGGGACAGTGTCTCACATATTGTCGTGGTCCGTGTATAGCAGGTGCTGACTGGAAGATGTCTGTGAATGAGCTGGAGTAGTGTGGTTCCCCATCCACAGCAAGAGTAACAATGGCAGTGCCTCCCAAAGTCACTTGTAGAGGAGACGCTGCTGCCACAACTATTGATTACTTCGCCATGAACGATGTAGCGTTGCGTAGTTCCAGAAGGGTGGAAGAGGGCATGAGTTGGGCCAAACGGCCACACAGGCCCGTGACAGTGAAGGTGGTGGACAATGGCTTCAGCATCAGGCACTTCGTTTACACTGTTTCGCCTGCGCTACCTTCTGCACCTGTTTTCGGTCCAACTGCGCCTCCTGCGGATTGGAGTTTGCATCGAGTGCTGGTTGAAGCATGTCTTTCGATGGCCAAGGAGGAAGCAACCTCGGTAAATGTAGTCATGATTTTTCTCTCACGAATGCGGGCACAATTTGCAGTCACAGCGGTAAAGCAGGTCGCCGTCAACACAGCTACCGAGTTGAAGGAAGCATGAGTCTTTGGACGAAATCGGTCTCCGAGGTGGGTGGATGCTGCATATGTCCTCGACGATGAGACCACTACCAAGATGATCGCCGAGGGCTGGCAGTGGTTAAGCAGCAGTCTCACAGCTATCTTGCAGCAAGGATCGAGCAACATTGATGCCTGTTCGCTGGAGATCGACAGCTTCCTCACGATTCAGTATCATGGTCAAGGTCTGCATGGGAGGTTAGATTGCACAGTCAAGCAGGCGCGTGACCTCGCCAGTGCGACCCCCATGGACACGGAGGCCATCAGTCGTTTCCTCGACGTGATCAAGTATGACCTTGAGGATGCAGTTCTTGGTATGAACAAGGAGTATACCCAGAGATGGAGTGATTGGTGCGCTGAATCCGTATCTCGAGGAGCTCGAGCGCTGCGCCGCCTCACCAAGGACAAGACGATTCCAGAGCCAGCCCAGTGCCAAGGGCCCGTTGTTTCTGGGAGCCCCATTGCCAAAGTCGAAAAGGAAATTGAAATGTACAAGAAGCTCTGGAAGGCAAGCAGTGAAGCACCATGCGCATGGGTGCCAGATCGTACCACGTGCCGTGTCCTCGAGCCTGGCATGATCAGAACGGTTGCCAAGACGTTCTCTGCGGGCACGTCGGCCAGCTTCGACCAGCTCCACCCGAGGCATGCGCTGATGCTGGATGATGAAGGGCTGGAGGTGCTCAGTCTCATATGGCAGTGTTCGGAGGCAATTGGACTACTTCCCAACCAGTTGCGCTGGACTCAGATGCGGATGTTAGGCAACCCATCAGGTGGAAGCAGACGCTTCGTTCTCTATGCGGGTATTTATCGCATAAGGCAGAGAGCCCGCCGATGGATGGTGTCTGGTACCAGTCAGCAGCTTTCGAGATGATACTGGGGAGCGGCGAAAGGTCGCTCTGCCCTTGACTGTGCTTGGCTTCAAGCTGCTCGTGCTGGAAGCGATCGAGCACGGCAGCGACACCATCTCATGTGGGTTATCGATTGGGCAAAATATTATGAATCCATACCACTGGATACTCAAAGAGTGAAGTTTGTCAAGCTTGGAGCGCATGTGTGCTGGCTCAAGTTAGTCTTCAACACTTGGCGAGCGCCACGCGTCATCAGATCGGGCAAGCATCACTCCACCCTGCCCCTGTTCGCAGTCTGCGGGCTACCCGCTGGGGATGCCTACAACGATTTGGCCATCAAAGTTCATGCATACGTTGAGTTCGACGAGTGCATATCAAGATGTCCAGCGGTTGATTACCTGAGCTACCCCGACGATGCTGCGATAAGTACGGGCTCGAAGGATGTGGAGATGGCGATCAAGGTTGCAGTCAATGCGATGGCGGAATTTCAACGTACTTCCGAGAAGATGTCAGCGTGATCTACTTCGAGAAGACCGGTCTAATGGCGTCATCCAAGGAAATCGGCACTGCTGCGCTCGACATGCTAGGATGACCGCACTCAATCCTGAAGAACGGTGTCTCCTACCTCGGTGTCGACGAGGCAGCTGGAGCCAGACGCAGTGCTGTAGGAGCCAGCGTGACGCAAGCCAAGCGTTTCACAAGAATGAAGATGAGAATCCGCAAAGTCAAGTTTTATCGGAAACGGTTCAAGGGCAGGAAAGAAGCCCCCTTTTCCAGGATTTGCCGCGCTGGGATTGCTCCTGCGAGCAGCTTCGGTGCTGAAGTCCTGGGCCTGAGCCAGGCCGAGTGGGCTTCCCACCAGCGAATGATTTGCACTTCGGACGCCCCATGCCATGGGGTGTCTCACTGACAGCTAAACTCGTTCTTCTCGGGGGCAAGAGTTCTCGGCTGGCGGTTGCCCCTGCGATCCACTGGTGTAGAATGCTTTGGATTGCCTCCACCCAGCCCGAGAGAGCACTAGTCAGCAAGGTCGAGCTTCTTAGGCTCTGGGACTCGGCCCAGCCTCTGCAGGGTGGCCTTGCAGCTCCTCTCGCGGCCCGATTCGTAGAGCGGTACTAGTGCTCCAGCAGGCTGGCTGGGAAAAGGTAGGCCCAATTGAATGGAACGATCACAACGGTTTAACCGTGATGGTAAATCAGACTCCCCCGTCTCTGCTGGCTGACATGATAGATATCAGTATCCAACGCCAGCATGAGATGGCGGCCTCAGCTCGAGGCCAGTAATTTGAGCCTGAGCTCAGCATCTAGTGCTGTGCACTCTCCCCGACTGGGCATTTCATTCCATTCCATTCCTTCTCCTTCTCCTCCTCCTCCTCCTCCTCCTGCTCCTCGTCATCCTCCTCCACCTCTTTCTCATCCTCCTCCTCCACCTCTCTCT